TTATGGAACTTTCAAAAGCCAAGGAAACTTTCGCTTGTGATTAATTTCATTATGTTTTATATGAATAAAATGCCCTCACTGAATATGACACCTAAATTTTGTCTACAATTAAGCCGACAATTCTTGTATGCAATTTACCCTTACTTTCACAACGTATCACTCACTTTATCTGCCAAATTGTTAACTAGAAACAAATGAGAGCATTATTTTCAGTTTAATTGTGAGAAAATTTTATAAAATTTAATTTGAATGTCCACTGAATAAAATTGTCGACATCGAACAACGATGAGTTAAAGTAAAAATTAATTTTTTTGGCATGTAAAGAATAAGCACTGCGCCATTTCTTACTCCTACACTACTCTACGGAGGCATGGAATACTTTTCCTATTATAACAGTCATTCATAGTGGATTATACATTTTTGTCCAATCCTCTTTACTTCTTCACTTGACTGATGACCGGTAGCAAATTATTCCTGGTATATTTCGCGCACCCTCTGCACTTTGCGAAGTCCATCAATTAACTTCCATATCAGTGAGTATGATATTCCCAATTCGATCTGAATTCGTTAATGGGTTGCCTCTACATGGTTATTCGTGCGGTCTTCCCTGTTGATCACCCTGCGTTAAATCAGTCATGTATCTGATAAAACAACGCCGGATATCTCGTTATTGTCCCTACGATTCAAACGAACGACGTAACTGTCTTCGAACCTGAGAAGCGGCTACAGTTTGTTGGAAAATTCGTCAGCCAGCCTGTCAGTCGCTTGATCCAGTTCTTGCACCTGGGGCGAAATCGACATCTGCGTTGTACGCCCATGAGCATGCAGTCCACACAAATGCTTCTTGGTGTTGTAATTCCGATGGTAAAACCACCCATCGAGGTTGAACACCTGAGAACACATTCGTCATCGAGTGCATCAGTCAAATTTCAAAATGGCGAGATATCGAATCCGGATGAAGCTCTACTACAACTACTCATATCATCTGAAAGAGCATGCCGCCTGCTTGTTAGGCAAATGCGCGTATACGACAGGATAGGCACCAATGACCCTTTCTCCGAACATTGCATAAACTTGCGAAAACAATAGCGACAGATCGAAATATTGCATCTGCAAATCACGTTGTCCGGTCCTACAGAATTTGCAATTTTGCTTACGTGCGAAAAAAAAGTATTAGGTAAGGTTCTTGCCCACTGTCATCAATCAGTAACTATTCAATAACGTTTGGTTGATGATTCATTTTTTATATAGATTCTCCTCAGTGTTAATGTCTGTAAACTTAGCGGAGCTGGACGGACATCGGCATTCTTCATTCTAATGACAAATTTCTTAAGAGCAGAAAAAGCTTTAGCTAATCCCCAAAATCCTTGCAAGAGTTCAGTTGTATGCTCTATCATGACTTGCGGGATGCTTGCATATTTTTAACACCCTTTTTAACTCTGGTACCTCGTTATGCTGCTTCACACCAGCAATCGAACCGTAATGAGAACTTTCACCAATCGCTCCTGTTGAGGGAATCTTTGTCTTGGATCGATTTTGTTCGTTTGCACCGCTGAACCTTCTGTGTTCCGGCACTAATTTTCCTGTCGAACACGTGGCCAAAGGTCTCGGACGAAAATTTCTCCCGATCTCGTTGATCTTGAAAGTACTATTGTCACCCTCAATGCACTCTATGACTCGTGTACCCCGTCTCGTTAACATGGTAATATTAGACGCCATGAAATCGTAATGGCGGCACTCTTTTGGTTTTCCGGTTTCACGTGACCGCATGGAACTGCGTAACTAAATCAAAATTCTTTGGAATTCAAATGTTTGAGCGAAGTCTGGCAGCGTGTTCAGGGGGAATTGCCCATCTACAAACAAAGTGATGATAGAAAGCGAAAATTCTATTGAAACAGATGTGTGCGAAGTACAGAGATTTCAATCCTCGACTAAATGACTGTCTGCCCACTTTTTTTACCTGACATAGCTACTGCGATGAAATCATAAAACAGAATTGATGGAATTCTCGAACTTCAAAAGTCAGACAATCGCGTCGCATTTAACTCGGTCTCGGTTTTCGACTGACTGCTGCCGATGAACGAAACAAGTTAAATCAAGCCTCCGATACTAATAATGATCTGTCAGCTATGAAGACTCAAACTCGCAACCGAGTTTAATTTAATGACCTCGGGCAATCAACAGAGTGGAATCATGAAACAAAATTATAGGCATACAAATTCAGCGTTATGACTAAAAATTCGTATGGTGCCCAGAGACAGCTTTTGGTTGATATACAACCCGAAGAAATTCGTCCCAGACAACACCGAAACTTGCTCGCGATCGTTAATGACGAGGAAGAAAACTGGCCAATGGAAGGTACAGCGACATTTGCCTGAACCGTTGTGACTGAAGCAAACCTGAGTGTGAAAACTAAGCTCTGTGTGTCGTCTCTGTATCTAAGCTAGGCCCTCTGTCTCTAAGTCAATCGTTATCCCGAAGATCTACGGTCATGAGTCATGCGCCATTACTAAAATTCTTTGATCCCGTGTAAGAGGCTGAATTGGACTTTCTGAGATGCATCACTGGGCTTAAGCGTCTGGAAGCAGTCCGGGGTACATATTTTCAAGGGTGCCTTAACGCTGCTTCCCTAGAGTGATAAATCGAGCTGTAAGAGTCTCTGCACGTCTTGTGAATGCTTCCAGAAAGCAAAGTGAAACAGATACTATTTGCTTAGTTCTGCGGAAGGTCAAGGATAACCTGGTGCAGGAGTATGGAAAGACTCGGATCCAGACTGGGAATATTTTCTGCCGAGGGTCAAACGCTGGGACCAGATTAGGAACGTAGAAACTGTCTTCCGCGTCTGTCTCAGCGACCTGAAAGGATAAACGGTTATCGAAACTGACTGATGTGACTTCCTGTTCTCACTGACACGTTTCGACGCCACACAACTGCGTCTTCATTATATTACACACCAATAAAACCGCACAAATTTGTAACGTGATTCCGGCGATATTCCGCATCATTTCTCTGTTTTTCAATTCAGGGTTTGAACGGTAAAAAATCTGAGGACTAAGGCACCATAACAAGAACAGGCAAATGCTTTTATTGTTTGAGCGTTTCGCTACCACGCCCTAGCATTATAAGGGAGAAACTGATATCGATTGCCACAGGTCATCCTGTGAATACACCATATAAAAATACTGTGTGTTTGTGCGTTCATTGCCTTGGATCGTATGAACGTCGAGATGTCCGCTGCATTCACAGCGATTCGACACTCT